AATATAGAATATAGAATATAGAATATAGAATATAGAATATAGAATATAGAATATAGTATATAGAATATAAAAATATAAAATAGGGAATGTGGATCACAATTGATTCGGACCTCCAATATGAATTGTAATGTCTATGTCGCAGAATGTGTCTAATGCTGCAGGCAGTAAACGGGCCAATCAATTGCAATAATTATCTGAGCAATGCTATAAATTGCACCAGTGATTTGTCAGGCGATGAGGGCAGCAACTGCCAACTGCCAACTGCCAACTGGCAACTGGAAACTGGCAACAGGCAACAGCCAAGAGGCGACTGGCAACATAAAAGGATTAGAGAGCGCGGGCGCGCGCGCTTTGGAGCATCGGCGCTGGCTGTGCCAACTCAGCCAGCTTCTCAGCCAGACGATGGACATTGAAATGAAAATACAATAAACTACAGCGGCGGATCGCCAAACAAAAGCAAACAGCAGACAGGCGACCCAAAGGCCACAACAACAGCAACAGCAACAACAACAGCGACAGCAACATCAACAATGGGGCCGAGCAAATGGAATGGGGATTGCGTTGAAGTCTAAAAGGTGACCACAAGTCCCACATCCTTTTGTTGGCCGTCTTTGCTTTGTTTGTGCTGTCGGCGAATGTTTGCTACCAAATAAAAATCACGCAATGCTTGCGGCAACAACAGCAACAGCAACAGCAGCAGCAGCAGCAACATGTCGCGCTGCCGGCAACGTTTTTCCTTCTTCTCGTTTTTTTTTTTTTTTTTGCAGCTGAGCACAAAATCAACAGTCAGATCGTGCGTTTGATCAAATTAAACGATAACAATTTGTCTCCGAAGTGTTTCAATTTGAACGTTCAACCAGCGACAACAACAACAACTACCACAGCAACAGCAGCGATGACGACAGCAGCATGTTGCTGGCGTGTTGCTGTTGCTGTTGCTGTTGCTGTGGCCAACGCAGCAACCTTCGCGCATAAGTCAACTTTTAAGGTAAAGTTGACACACACACACACACTGAGAGGGGGAGCCAGAGATAGAGAGAGTGAGAGAGAAAGAGAGAGTGAGAGACTTGACCATTGTGCGTTGCAGTTGTAGTAATTCCCATAATAAAATCGCCCCCGTCTTGAATTACAATTAGTCTTAGCAAGGGCTGGACGCGTTGTCGAACTGGGACTCGAGCCATAGACACGGACGACTTCGACTCCGACTCGGTCGCTTGGTCTTTGCCTGCACTTGGACAGCCGCTCTGGTCGGCTCAGCTTAGCTGTCGGCCGCACTTGGCAAACGATTCTCAATTCTCGATTGTCGCTCTCTTGGGCAGCTTTTTTGCCGTCGCGTGTTCGTCCGAATGCCTACCCATTTTTTTTTTCTTTTCGTTTTTCTTTTTTATTATTTTTACTCCTTTTCTTTGTTTTATTTATTTATTTTTTATTTTTTTTCATTTTGATTTTGCTTTTTTGTTCCCTTGCCTCGATTCGTCTTAACTATTAGTTTGGTATTTTGTGCGTTAAGTTGGTATTTATTGCTTTTAGTGATGTCGGAATGTGCTGGGCCAACTGTCATGTGATGAGTAGCTGCTGCCGCTGCTGCTAATCATTTCACAACAACAACACCACGAAGAATAAGAAGAAGAACGACAACATTAATAACGCAACAGCAGCAACAACAACAGCAATGGGAACCAGACAGCGCGTTTGGAATCATTAAATTGGCCTTGGATCGATCACTGGCAACAACAACAACAACAACAACAACAGAAGAACCAATTGAGCAATCGCCTTCAATCGTTTTGGGCAATACACAACAGAACTTAGTCGGCAGCATTTTTATATGTACGACTTCAAATCATTTACTAGGAATTCAAAATCATAAAGTTTCTTCCAGCGGACAGCAGATAGATCAGTGGATCAAATTCATTAACGGAATCAATAATGAAACGATTTTTCGAGTAACATATGCTGACAAATTTGACTATATCTTAATTATTTTCCATTGTATATATATAAATATATAGGTTAAATATATATAGTATATAGTTAATAATATATCTTGCCAATTTCATCTTCTTTCTTACTTATATCTTACTTTATCTTAATATTATAAGATAATATCTTTATTTCTTACCTTCTATCTATATATTTTATAATAAGAAATATATATTGACTATTTCATCTTCTTTCTGCTATCTTTTATCATAAGATAGTATCTTTCTTATACACCATTCTATCTACTATCTGTAATCTATCTCTTATATTTTATATTTTTATACCCTGAACCCATTGAAAATGGGAAATCAGGGTATAATGTT